GGGGTAAGAGGAGCAAGAGGGAGGCTGGTGGTGATCAGGTTCCCTTCTTTTAGCTTCGGAAACGCCTAGATCCTGGCTGCTCCTCCGAAGTCGTAAGTAGTCGGAGCTCACCATCCCGGGCTTTGCCGCCTTCGAAATGCAGCAGATTTGGAGACAGCAATGACTTGTGGTTTGGCTGGTTGAGACTAGAAAATCCCCGAACGTTTTCACATTTTACGCCTCCGTTTTAACACCGCGCGGGTAGATGTCCTCAGGCTTTGGGAGTGCGTGGGGCCGGCAGGTTCGGGTGGTGGTTTCGCTGTTGGCTTCTGTTTCCAAGGCCCGCAGCAAGGAAGAGAAAAATGCGTTTGGGGGGAGTTTTCCATCTTGGTTTTGGAGATGGCAGATGGGATAGTGGCTTCCCAGGTCAGTCGCACCGGCCTTAACGTGTCTGTTTTGATGTCTGATCGTTCTTATTGTAATGTTGGGAGCTCGAGACAACAAAAGCAGGCTGTTTTAAGTAACAAATGCTGTCAGGAAACATTGTTATGGAATGAAGTGGTTACAAGGTTTAGAATGGAAGATTAGATTGGCTCAGGTCTTGGTTACGTTTTCTGTTACTTTAGGTAGTTCTCTTAAAAACGAAGTCGCTTCCCAGTAACGCAATTGTAAAAAAAAAAAAAAAAAGGCGAAAAAACAAAGTCGCTTATGTGCATCTCTATATAATCGAGTATTGTTTCTGGTTGATAAGTGGGGGAAAAACTTTGTTTCAAATTTTTTCAAAGACTTTGTTTCAATAACAAAGTATTAAAAGGTACTTCCTTTGACTCACATGCTGCTTTGGGGCAAGAAAACCCTGATCATCTATGTGCCAGGCACTGTGTTGGGTTAGGTAGCTTATGTCACTTAATCCTAAGGACAGCTGCACAAACCAGTCAAAAAATCCCATGTTAAAGATAAGGAAGCTTTTGTGCTGTGTTTCGCTTCATAGCTCACTTCTTGGGCTTTCTTTAAAGCAGTGTTTATCCATATTTTCTAGTGGTGGCACTTAATTTGGACACCACTCCAGAAATATCAGACCGAGTAAAGAGTCTGGTAATTAATTTTAAGGCAAGGCCACACTTGGTTACTATCAAGGAAACTAACATTCATTGCCTTTTATTATCAGGCACTTGTAAACATTAGTAGAGTTAAGATGTGGAATGCTTTAAGACACCTTAATGTAAGGGGTGTTGTATATAAAAATGTGTATGTGGATGACGTAGGAATTACATGATGCTGTTTTATTTTGAGGTTTGGATTATTTTTACAATGGAAAAAATTGATTTTATTCCATTCTTAATTTAGGTACTCAGAATGGTCCAACGTTTGACATATCGCCGTAGGCTTTCCTACAACACAGCCTCTAACAAAACTAGGCTGTAAGTATTTCTAAAATTTAAAATACTTATTGACATTTATTCATTCACTCACTCAAAATGCTGACCTGTTGCCTGTTATATTACTTCCTAGGTCCCGAACCCCTGGTAATAGAATTGTTTACCTTTATACCAAGAAGGTTGGGAAAGCACCAAAATCTGCATGTGGTGTGTGCCCAGGTAGACTTC